CTTAACAGAACAGCGACGAAGACTTGGAGAACATCCATAAAGTGGACGCAATTGTGGTGATCGTGGGTCAGGACCCGGATGTGGTCTACAGTAAGACGACTGCTCTTCAGGTGTGACTCATTGTCTGGCATTCATTGTCTGCCACTCATTGTCTGCCATTCATTGCATGAATTGACGTTTGCATTGATTATTGTTTTGTGAAGACCTGGCTCTTCGGGTATGAGATGACGGACATAATGATAGTTCTGTGCCATCAGTCCATCCATGTGTTGGCGTCCAAGAAAAAGGTGGACTTCTTGAAGATGATTGAGTCGAGCAAAGAGAACGAGGAGTCGGTTCCGCCCATCACTCTCTTGGTTAGGGATAAGGTATGTAGTGTTGGGTGTTATGTGGGGTGTAGTAAGGGGGTAGTCAGGGGGTAGTCCTGTAGTGATGACTAACGCATTGATGAATTGGTGGATCAGACGGACAAAGACGGCGCCAACTTCGAGACGTTGAGGACAGCGATCGCGAAGAGCAGAAACGGCAAAACGATCGGTGAGTTCACGAAAGACAAGTTCAGCGGAGAGTTCGTCGACGAGTGGAAGAAAGTGTTGAATTCGCAGAACTACTCGACTTTGGACATCAGTTCTGCGGCGGCCTATATAATGGCGCCCAAAGACGATCACGAGATCGCACTCCTCACCAAAGCGGCCGCTCTCTCGTCAGACATTTACGCCAAATATCTGAGAGAAGAGATCACAGAAATCATTGATTCCGACAAAAAAGTCAAACATTCAAAGCTGGCCGACGGTGTGGAACAGGCCGTCGCTAATAAGAAGTACGTCAAAGGTGTCGATCCCTCACATGTGGACCTCTGCTATACGGCTATCATTCAGTCCGGAGGCAAATATAATCTCAAGTTTAGTGCCGTTAGGTTCGTATGAATAGGTTGTGGACTCGATTGGAGTCAATGACTAAGACTTGTATTGTTTGCATTGAAACAGTGATAAAAACAACTTACACTTCGGCGCCATTACCTGTGCTCTGGGCGTCCGATACAAGAGTTACTGCTCTAATATCGTGCGAACACTTCTCGTGAATCCAACGGATGAACAAAAGAGTTTATA